TCTCCATTTAAGGGGCCCCCCCTCAAGAATTCGATGTTTTCTTCGAAACTGAAGTAACCATACGGTTCAGTATCCCAAAGTGTTATCTTTCAGAGTCCTTCTTAGTTTGCCAAAAATTCAATGTTTGCAGTGGATTTTGAGAGAGATTTCTAAAAGCCCTAAAAATCACCTTTTTATAAATTGCACGTTTCAATCAATCAATCAATCAATTTTATTTTAGTCCATGATGTTAATAAAATGACAGGGTAATGACAAAAGTTCAACAAAGAACTTGTCTAGGTCATCCCCAGTAAAAAACAAAACAGTAAAAAACAAAGTTTTAATTAAAACTTTTAAGATTATCCGTTTCAACAGACATTGTGCTATGTTGCGCAAAGTGTTCTAATGAGAATGAGATATCGAGCAGCTTTGTACGACTGTGTCTTACAGAGTTATACTAGTTTTGCTAAAGGCGCTGAACGATAATTAATGAAGTGATGATGTTGCTTAGAACACAGTTTTGGCGCAATAAAATGGTAATAACTTCTAGATGATTCATCGTAAAATCTTCATTCATCTTTTATTTTGAAGCTGAGACATTTATCTAAACTTTAATCTGCGGCGATTTTTGATTTTTGTTTTCTATGCAGAGATAAGTGGCAAATACTCCGCCGAATTAGGGTTATTTTCAGAGGTCAGACTTAAAATATGTGTAGAGAATGAACAGAAGCGAAATTCAAAAAACACCGCGGGTTAAATTTTAGATTTAGGTCTCTACTTTCATCTGAGGCCTCACGCAGCTTTCCGCACCTTCCAACAAAAACGTTAAAACGCTTTTGCTAAGAGCCCCATTTTGCTCCTTGTCATGCAATAACTCCACAGCGCTTCAACGTTTCGATTTAAAATTCTTAGCATAAGCTCGTAGGACAGTAAGCATTATTCACTGGAACCGCCATCGAAATCAGATATAAGATAAAAAAAGTTTTTTTCTGTGGCGGGGGTCCCCCTTAAGTGAAACAGAGGGTGTTTGACGTCTTTAACGGATCTACTCTTACGAAAATGGAGAGTGTGAGTGTGCTTGGCGTTGTAATAATCTGTAAAAATTTCCTCCGCGTGCCACCTCCATTAGGAAAAATAGTCTGTCAGCATTTTGAAACGAATATAGTAGTTGTACAATGAACGGATTATTTTGACTAGCTACTAATATTTTTCGTTCTGTCATGACATAACCCACATCTTGTCCCTCGAGTACAACGTTTTTTCGTAATATTTTCATGGCAAAATGATCTCGATCTCTTTTAACAAGATAAACCTGAAGAAAACTATACTGTGTGAATAAATACCAGTTTTCTGTTGTAATGAAAAAGATACTCACCGAACCATTCATACCATTTCCTAAAGGTTTTATAAATTGAAATTCTTCCACTTTCATCCCAATAGTCACATTTGGATGATAGTCTCTTGAAATTCGTTCCATTTCATCTTGGACAGCTCCTCTTTTATCTGCTTGCTCCAAATTATAATAGATATTATATAAGTCACTGTTGTAGGTATGTAGATCATCTTGATCATACTAGAAATAGACAACGTTGTAAATGTAAAAGGGTCAATGCAATAACATACATTTTCTTTCCATTTTTCGTATAATGCAAAAACATTTTCTTCGACTCCGCAGTAATTTCCCACTTTATCCCGACATCGACGATGAACAACCATTGGACAATCTGAAACATTATTTACTCTATCCAATTCATACAAGATTTTAGAAAAATATAATTTCATACGTGTGCATTTGTGTGCATGCCCCGGCTTGATAAAACTTCCATCATGATCACAAAACACCGGTTTTAATGTGAACGATTGTGGCTCAAAATGATGTGCAACATCTATTTTTAACTACAAAAGAAAAACTACCCTCTCATCCCCCATTATTGTTTAAGAAATTTATTTACTTCTGGATACTTTTTGCCCTTACAGGGACTAGCAAATTGATTGTAACACGCTTTATGTACAACACAATCACATCGTTGACATTGATAGCCTTGATATCGGAAACCCCTAGAAATATTTTTTTGTAAAAGTCAAAATAAAGGGCTAGTAGTTGAATAGTAAAAGGGTACTTACCATAAAAACTCAGAACACACTGAGCAAAATGTCGGTGTTTTAAATATTTTCGCCACAAATTCATGTCCGAAATGTTTCTGAATATGCTGACGCCTTTCTGCAATTCGATTGCCATGCATCTGAGTTGAATTATTTATTGTTCTACCAGATGGATCTAAAACGTTAAACCAGTCGAGTCAACTATTGTATGCAAAGAGCTGCAATGCTGTATTCAAATACTTGACAGAAACAACTATACCTTTATATTTGATTATCATATTGGCAGAGGCATTTGGTGAGAAATGATACTAAAATAACACAAACAAGACACTATTCCAATATTTAGCACTAATCCGTATGACGTCACTCTAAAAAAAAGGTATTCTGCAGTTGTTCGAAGAACTGAAAAATCAATCGGAATTTTGTTCTTCATTTGTCCCAAATAGTGAACTCAAATTTTCTTCTTCAGCCCTCGAGACCAGAAAATTTGTTCCTCAGTTTTTGAAAAACTGATTTTTTTCGTTCTTTGGAGATTGAAGAACAAAATTTGAGTCCTCGATTTGGGACAAATGAAGAACAAAATTCCCATGGATTTTCGTTCTTTGAAAAACTTAAGAATAAATTTTTTTTAGAGTGCGTCTCTCCACACTCTAAAAGAAAGTCGTAGACTAATAAACTATCAAAAAGAGTTTATTAAAATCAATAAACCTTTTAAAAAACGCTTTTCTGTTTTTTGAGCGTTTTTTAAAAGGTTTATTGGTCTTAATAAACTCTTTTTGATAGTTTATTAATCTACGGTTGTTCTTTAGAGCCCATGACAATACACTTAGAATCTATAATGCTATAGCTTACTATTCGGCGTATGTGTATAGTACAGACCAAATGTTAATCCCGAAAGTTCAGGCTTTTGTTCAGCTACATCACTCAGAAAATATTTGTGCTGTACCACTATATCCCTAACTGAATCCATCTCGATATTCATATGAGGAAAAAATACTTTTCATGCATCATTGAAAAGCTCTTACATCAGCCATCTGCTATATGAATGAGGTATCCAAACTCTCATTGCTTTCATAGTTATGGATACGGGCTCATTCTGATTGCGAGACAATACTTTGAAGTGCTATTCTTAACGAATACTATTGGATGTTTGTTGATTATCTCTCCACATTTAAATATTAGTGCTTCGGCTGATTGGTTCTGGATGTAATGAAAATGGAGGTTCATCATTGAGGGTGATTTGAAAATTCAGGATCGGAAAAAGAAAATTTTCATTGCAAATAGACGAGAGAGAAGGGAGTGATGACAAAATCGGATGGTAAAGGTAATACGTAAACGTTTTGTTTTCCATACAGAAGCCACACAACATGTTGGAAAGTTTTTTTTCATAAAAATAATATTCATGCGCTGCCGATATTATTCTGCTTTCATTTCGAGTTGAGAATATTTATCAAAGAATGGTGAAATTCCAAACATGATCACAGAATGAGCCCGTATCCATAACTATGAAAGCAATGAGAGTTTGAATACCTCATTCATATAGCAGATGGCTGATGTAAGAGCTTTTCAATGATGGATGAAAAGTATTTTTTCCTCATATGAATATCGAGATGGATTCAGTTAGGGATATAGTGATACAGCACAAATATTTTCTGAGTGATGTAGCTAAACAAGAGCTTGAAGTTTCGAGATTAACATTTGGTCTGTACTATACACATACACAGAATAGTAAGCTATAGCACTAGAGGTTCTAAATATATTATCACGAAGCGACGTAATACAGATTAGTGCTGTAAATCTCGTAGCAGTGTAGCCTCTTACACGATGTCGATGTCCATCAGCATCTTTTTTCAAAACATCTAAATCAGCGCGATATTCATAAATCGGAATAGCAGTCGCTTCGTTAGCAGTTTTAGTAGCTATACGGATTGTAATTTGTCTCTTTGTCAATAATCCGGCGTCAAATGGAATACATTGATCTTTCTCAAAATATTGTGGAAATTTAACTCGAACTAATGCATGATAATACAAAGAAGACAAAAATTGAAGATCAATAAATTATGGACGAGTTCTATTGCTTATACTTTCGCGTTCGTTTTGAGATGATTGTTCTTTTTGTTTGAGTTCAACTTGTGTTTTAACTGTTGTCAAGTCTATTTGTTGATTGTTTACTTGAAAACTTAATATTTGAATGCGAAGAAATGGATGATTTTCTGTTGTAGCTAAAGAAAGTGAGAGCATCCTATTACTTGAAATCTTTCATAAAAAATAAACCTTGTTGTCTGTCGAAACTTCGAATAGTTTTATTTTAACTTATCGACTATTGCGCTTTCAGAAGATTAACAAAACGTTTTGTTTTCTCGCTTAAAGTGTCTCATATTACATCTTTCTTCGTAATTTCAGGAAAACGTTTGCTTGTTGATTTATACATTGCACAGATGGATAATCGTGGTTAGTAAATATATATAGCAGAGAATTAGTATGTTCTTCCGGCATACTTACATGAGGTTTGCGACATAAACGATGGTGCATGCTGTGCCTGTGACATATTTAGTTTGCAGATTAAACACTAGTTTATACAAACGTAGATTAGTTGAATCTGTTTATTATGTTTATGAGTCAGCGGAGGATGAAAATCAGAGTATTGGAGAGAAAACATGGAAAAAAAATTTTCTGTCATGTGAAACTATTGATTATGATTATTCTTCATGTCACGTACATTTTTTATTTTCCTTCTAATGCAAATAGTTCGAACAGGCACATGCAGATGAAAGAGACAATGTCACTGACATAGAACGAAAAAAAATAGGTAAGACTAATATCGAAATAAGATTATCACGAACAAAATATAGGAGTTAACTAGTTGTTCTGTTTTTGTGTTTCGTAAATGGACTGTGCACAAACCGGTTTTTTTCTAGTTAAACTTCCTTTAATAATCGATCGCCCACCAGCAAAAAATTCATTGGAAAATACCATATTCTGTTCCAGCACATACCATTTTATAGTGTTTTTATTTTCAATAACAAACAGTTTTAGTGATTATTTCATAAATCATCACTCCTGATAATTGTTCACAAAGCACAGGTTTCTTTTTTAGTAGAACAGTCGTACTTTTATCTCTGATATTTTATTAACTTTTTACAACACAGATCAGATTTTACACAAACTCGGCTAAAACAGTAATTGATAAAACTTGTGAATAGTTACTAGAATTTCTTTTGACGTGGCTAGAGCAACAGCGAACACCTCCAGGGATAAAAATTCCTCGTTTAGTAAAAACCCATCTCTCATTTCATTTGGATGCTTGTGGACTTGTAAATGAAAACCCACGGAACGTATCCTCTGGAGTAGACATTAATAAGTAAGCGTCTCTTCCTAAACCCATCTCTCGTTGACTTTACGATAACAGAATCATTTTTGTTGATTGTGTGGATTGCATACTGTAAAAACTAAAGTGTGCCCGTAGATGTGTAAAAGTTCTAACGAGCGAGATCCACTGACTGTCCAATCGCAATTGAGACGAAACCTAGTAGGTGATAGGTAATCGACCACGCTGATTCTGAATACCGACATGAGACGGACAGTTAGGCCTCCAGAAATCCGTTTTCTAGAAAACCAGGTTTTCAGAAACTCTCAAAGATAACCTATTCCTTGTCCGCTATATTCATCATAGATCTTGCGTAGTATGCATTGTAAAAAATAAAGTGTGCCCAAAACATACTGAACTTGCATATCACTCTGATTCGCATTTGCATAACTAGAAATGCACGGTGGAAAATGGGTCTCTGCAGATCTAACTACCCGTCTCATGTCGATATTCGGAATCAGCATGGTCGATTACATATCACCCACTAGGCTTCGTCTCAAAAGCGATCGAATAGTTGATGGACCTTCCTCGTAAGTGCGTTAACGCAGTCGATTACCTGTTGTCCACTAGAGTTCAGGCAAAAAGCGATTGCACACTTGGGGACATTTCCTCGTAAATATATTTAATATAATTGAAAAACCTTTCCTAAAAACTACGTACTGGAATGTCCATACTATGCTAAGGCACTATAATTTCCCTAATGCGATTACCCACTTGCTCGGGGTTCATATGCACTTCTTCATTTCCATTTGTCGAGTTTCGATCGACATCAGCTGCAGATTTGTTCACGAACAGAAACAAATAGTTCATTCAATTCATTGAAAACTAAGTTTACCGGCCTATTACCTAATAGTTTATTACAATCTGTGCATCTCGCATGTTTTTCTACTTTAATCATATATTACCAAGTATTCAACAAAAATACAAAGTTAGATATACCATTCTGGTTAGTTTTTCATTGGCTATTTTTTTTTATATCAAACTTTACTCTAACTTCATATTAGATTTTGAATAAAATCGTTTTTGTTAAGCGCTGATATCCATTTCAGAAAAATTAATTTAAAATTTCTCTATAAAGTTATAAAGGCTCAGATTAACTGAAAACTGTGTTAAATCATTTTCTCTATAAAATCCGAACAAAATTAAGTCGAAATCAAAGAAAGCTGACCGTTTTCTTTCCACAATAGACAGATTATTTCGGTATTGCATCATAACATCATACTCGGCCTTTATATGCTAAAGAAAATCTGTGGTTTCAATATTCGGCTTTTTTGAAATATTTTCATAACATATTGCTTGTTAGAATACTTGTTATAATACATGTGTCACAATATATATAAGATACTTAAATGTACTAGCAGTGTGAAGACATCTCAATCTGGATATCCTTTTTTTACAGCAAAATGTTTTTAATATCCCGAACGGGATATAGTTTGAAATTATATCCTGATCAGGATATCAAAACATTTTTGTTGGTTAGTGTAATTTCTAACCTTCACGTTAACATGTTTTTCATCAAATCTAATCAGTTTGGAAGGGGTATTGCCCTACCCGGCAATATGAGTATAAATGAGTTGTAAGCAAGTTGTGATTCACTTACAAAAAACATGAGGCAGTTTATCTGCACGAATCAATAGTTGAAAAATTCCCCGTTAAACATAAAACACGTATACTTATATATTGTCGACGCATGAGAAAAGAAATGTGTGTTTCAATGTATGCGTGCATCGAAAAGGAAGAAATAAAAAAGGTGATCGATATTAGAGTCGTGCAGGTTTATCCCTCGGGTTCGGAATCGGAATCCCGAAAACTTTTTTTCGAGTTCGGGACAAGTTTGGGTTCATCGGAACGGGACTGAGAGCGGGTTTCTGTTTTAAAACTTGCATTATTTTTCTCAAACAACTTCTGCTATTTTATTCAAGAAAGAGTAAGAAAAGAAAATCTGTTTCTAAGCCTGCTAGACGTATATCACAAAATAGAAATATAAAAATAGTCTTTTACTTTTCACTGTTATTAAAAACTACTATCAGTCTGCCGGCCATAGGTAGTTACCATTTCTCAATAAATCTGTCCTCATTTCAGAATGGAATGGGATCTACTTAGACGTTTATGCATAAAGATAGTCAGAAAAATCAAAGAGACCACCAGCATTA